ACCTCCAGTGGCACACAGGAGTTATATCTGGATCTGGTCCAAGCCATCCCCTCCAGCCCAGGAGTAGTTAACAAAGAGGCTGGCATTTCCCACTGGGAGCAGGTGGATGAGCTGGCAAAAGAGCCTTCTGTAGCTACTGCAAACAATCAGGTGTGTGGGGCTGTCACGAGCCGATGGCTGAGCCCCATGTGGTAATAACCAGCTGTTGCGTAACAATGATTAAAGAAGAAAACGCAGGGTAGTAGAAGAACTCACAGATGTGGCCAGGTGCAGTGGCTCATGTCTGTAATGCCAGCACTTTGGGAACTCAAGGTAGGTGGACTGCTTGAGCCCAGGAGTTCAAGACCAGCCTGGGCAACATAGTGAGATCCCATCTCTATAAAAAAAATTAAAAATTAGCTGGGCCTGGTGGCACACGCCTGTATTCCCAGCTATTTGGGAGGGTGAAGTGAGAGGATTACCTGAGCCCAGGAGGTTGAGGCTGCAGTGAGCCATGACTTCGCAACTGCACTCCAGCCTGGGCAAGAGAGTGAGACACTGTCTCAAAACAAAACGAAACAACCCACAGATAAGCCTGCTGGCTTGGCGGCCAGAAATTTCTGCCTTATCAGTTACGTCAAAAGAACCAAAATTAGCATTTGGTGAATTTGGATTAACCCCGCATATTAGTCATTGCCAGATGCAATCAGACGTTCCAAAAGGTCTCTGACGTGGAATAAGTTAACAAAACAACTGCTGCGATGCTGGTCTTCCACTTCTGTGTGTGGCCCCTGCAGTTTATTGTCAACATGGAGCCAGCAGGATCCTGTGAAGACCTAAGGCAGATCCTGTCGGAGCCCTCCGGTGGCTCCGGTCTCACCTGGAGTAAAAGCCTAAGTCCTTTCCATGGCTTCCCAGGCCTTAAGTGTCTTTTTAGGGGCTGCCATTCCCACCCTTTCACCTCATCTCCCACCTCTGTCCTCCTGGCTGACTCCACCCCAGCCACAATGGTCTCCTTGCTGTCACAAGCCAGCTTCAGAGTCTTTTCCCTAGATACATACATAGCTCATGTTGCTCAAATGTCACCTTTTCAGAGAGGCCTTCCCTAACCCTACTATTTAAATAAAAATCCTTGCCACTGCTCCAGCTCCAGCTGGGACACTCTCATTCTCCTTCATTAAGTTCCTCCACAGCGCTCATCATCCGACATGTTTTACTGACTAATTTATCAGTCTTTCCCTACTAACATGAAAGCTCCACAAGACTGGATTTCTTTTTTTGTTCTAAGAGAGCGTCGGCCAGGTGCAGTGGCTTACGCCTATAATCCCAGCACTTTGGGAGGCCGAGGCAGCGGCTCATGAGGTCAAGACATCAAGACCATCCCGGCTAACACAGTGAAACCCCGTTTCTACTAAAAATACAAAAAAAGAAAAAAATCAGCCAGGCATGGTGGCACGAACCTATAGTCCCAGCTACTTGGGAGGCTGAGGCAGGATGATTGCTTGAACCCAGGAGATGAAGGTTGCAGTGAGCTGAGATCGTGCCACTTCACTCCAGCCTGGGTGGCAGAGCAAGACTCCATCTCAAAAAAAAGAGAGACAGCTTCTCACTCTGTTGCCCAGGCTGGAGTGCAGTTGTGTGATCATAGCTCACTATAGCCTTGATCTTCCAGGCTCAAGTGCTCCTCCTGCCTCAGCCTCCGGTGTAGCTGGGACCACAGGCATGGGCCACCACACTTGGCAAATTTTTGTATTTTTAGAAGACATGAGGTTTCGCTGTGTTGCTTAGGCTGGTCTCGAACTACCAGGCTCAATGATCTTTCACCTTGACCTCCCAAAATGCTGGGATTATAGGCGTGAGCTACTGCGCTCCACTGAGACTGAGAAGTTTTTGTCTTCTGCTGTGTATTGCAGTATTAAAACAGTGCTTGGCCTACAGAAGGCACTTAATAAATACTTGACTAAATAAATGAATGAATGAACAAATAAATCCATCATCTACTCCCGAGTCTATAGGTTCTTTCCCTGCACAGACAACTTCCACACATTCTGTCTCCAGCTCCACATCTGATCGCTAACTGCCTCCTGGATGCCACCCCTTGAATGTCCCAAAGTCACATAAAATCTAGACATCCTAACTGAAACATATCACTTTCCCAAACTGCCCCCTCTGGGGTCTACCATGTTGGTGACAGCTGTAATACTCCCTTGATCTCTCCTAGGTCAGCGAATTCTGTTTCTCACCCCTCTGGCTCTGTCACCTGCCAGGTTCTGTCTCTTCTGCCTCCAGTCACTCTGTTCCCACAGCAACTAGGGTAACAGAATGAAATGTGATTTCCCTGGAGTCACCTGATCCTAAGAGAGCCCAGCAGAATCATCAGCCAGTAAGTAATAAAAACACGAATCCCTCCCTCTACACAAACACCCACATGTTGACAGAGCACATGTGCAGACATTATGTCACTGAATTTTCACAACTCCAGGATTGGATGTCATTATTCCCAGTGGACACATGAGAAAACAGGTTTAGAGAAATTAAACAATTTGCTTGAGGTCACCGAGTAAGAGGGAGAGCTGGAGGCTTGAATCTAGGTCCCAAGACTAAAACTGTCAGCAACCTGTATCTATCACAGTTTAAAAGACGGGTTGGGTGCAGCAGCTCATGCCTGTACAATCCCAACAATTCAGGACACCAAGAAGGGCGGATCTACTTGAGGTAAGGAGTTTAAGACCAGCCTGGCCAACATGGCGAAACCCGGTCTCTATTAAAAATACAAAAATTAGCCAGGGATGGTGGCACATGCCTGTAAATTCCAGCTACTCAGAAGGCTAAGGCAGGAGAATCACTTGAACCTGGGAAGTGGAGGCCACTAGTTGACAGGTGCGAAACACTGACATCAATTGGGATGTCACAGTAACAAAGAAATCCCTAATCTCAGTGGTTTAAAACATAGTCGTATTAACTAGCACTGTAATAATGCTGTGTAGCACATTATCCTAAAACTGAGACCTTTTTTGTTTGTTTGTTTTTCGGATTTTTTTGTTTGTTGGGTTTTTTTTTTTTTTTTTTCTTTGAGATTGTCTTACTCTGTCTCCCAGGCTGGAGTGAAGTGAAACCACCACAGCTCAATGCAGCATCAACTTCATGGGCTCAATCGATCCTCCCCACTCAGCCTCCCTAGTAGCTGGGACTACAGGCATGTGCTACCATGCCCAGCTATTTTTTCTATTTTTTTGTAGAGACAGGGTTTCCCCATGTTACCCAGGCTGGTCTCAAACTCCTGGGTTCAAGTGATCCACCCACCTCAGCCTCCCAACATGAAAACTGAAACTTATACCAACAAGCATTCTTCTAAGGGTTTGTGGGACGGCTGCTGTGGCTGCAGTTTGGGAGGATTCAGGTCTCTTCCATGGGATTCCACGGTTTTCTGGGATCAGCAACAACCTGGCAAATGTTTTCATGGCAGATCATGGGAGTACAAAAGCCAAGTGCATTTAAGGCCCTTGCTGAAGTTAGGTGTGCTCAAATTCCATTAAGTAAATCATATGGTCAAACCCATCAATGGAGCAGGGAAATATACTCCCCCTCCAGTGGGAGGGAGAGGAGTGGATATATGCTGAATGACTGCCCACTCACAAAAGGTTAATTTTTCCTTCATGCTAGCACTATCCACAGTGTTCTGCTCCTCATAGTCATAAAGCACCCACTGAGCCAGGAACTATGGCAAATACATCATCCCAGCACTTTGGGAGGCTGAAGCAGGAGGATCGCTTGAGGCCAGGAGTTTAAGTCCAGCCTGGAAACATGGTGGAAACACCATCTCTAAAAAAAATATATAAAAAGACTAGCGAGGCATGGGCATACACCTGTAGTCCCAGCTACTCAAGAGGCTGAGGCAAGGGGATCGCTTGAGCCCAGGAGGTGGAGGTTACAGTGAGCCAAGATTGTGCCACTGCACTACAGCTGCGCAACAGCGTGAGACTCTGTCTCAATAAACAAAAGATTGACTGTCAGACAAGTTGTATAACTTCTTTGGGCCTCAGTTTCCTCATCTGTTAAACTGGGGATAATAACAGACCCTGTCTCATGGGGTTTTTTATGAGGACTCACTGAGCTAATCCAGAAGTGAGGTGTGTAGAGCAGTGACTGGCAGGTAATGTTGAATAATGTTAGCTCTCATTATTATTATTTTTTATTTTTGGGGGGTCTCCCTCCATTGCCCAGGCTGGAGTGCAGTGGTGCGATCTCAGCTCACTGTAGCCTCCATCTCTTGGGCTCAAGCAATCCTCTCACTCTCACCTCAGACTCCCCAGTAGCTTGGATTACAGGTGTACATCCTCACACTTGGCTAATTTATAAAATTTTTGTAGAGACGACATCTCAGTATATTGCTCATGCTGGTCTCAAACTCCTGGCTCATGAGATCCTCCAGCTTTAGCCTCCCAAAGTGCTGGCATTACAGGTGTGAACCACCACACCTGGCCTATTATTCTTTAAAAAAAAAATTATTTATTTTAATAAAAGTAGAGACAGGGTCGTGATATGTTACCCAGGCTGGTCTGGAACGCCTGAGCTCAAGTAATCCTCTCACCGCAGCCTCCGGAAGTGCTGGGATTACAGGCATGAGCCACTATACCTGGCTAGTTTCCCCTTCTTTGAAGTGGAGTTGATTGGCTTAGATGACCTTCCTGGACACCTTCCAGTCCTGAGCTCACTGGCTGCAGCAGGCAGGGCACATTGCAATAATTCATTTTGTTCCAGCTAAGGAAACTGGGACCCAGAAAGTAGAAGCCACCTGCCCAGACCACACACTGATTCCTATGGTCATCCTGGACCTAATCCTTGGGTCTCCTTTCCCCTCTGCTGAGGGGCACAGGGATTATGCTGCCCATTTTCCAGGTAATGAGGCTGCGGCCCAGCAAAGAAAGTTACTCAACCCATTGCCAGTTGGCTCAGGAGCAGAATCCGAATGCCCCAGACTCCAGATTCCTAGTGAGGAGGAGGTGGGGTGGCAGGATCACCTGTAGGACCACAGAGATGGTCTTCTCGCCTGCCTTGGCTGCGCGCCATTTTCGGTAAGTGTCTGCCTTGAGAAGATTTTCTGCACAGTGGGTCTGGAAACAAGAATGGGAGAGGAGAATTAGGGCACAGAGATGACAGCTAGGCCTCCAGCTCTCAGATGATTCCTTTGAGTCCTCCCAAGGCCTGTATGATCCTCCGGATTTAAGCTCCCCCGTTAATCCCCCCACACTCTGCCTGGAGTTTGGGGGAACAACACGTTCCTGTGGAAGTTCACCTACGGGCTCTCCAAGAAAGCTTCCCTATTCCTCTTTTTCTCTCCGGAAGTTCCCTGGAGGCCAGAATGTCCCTGATTCAACACCTCTCCACAACTCACTTTTAGCCTCCCGGAAATCCCCCCACTGACTCTCCTTAGACTTCCAAGAAGGACCCCAAAAGTTCTTTAAGGAGCTATCCTCATTAATTCCCTCACGTCTCCCAACCTCCCCCGACGCAGGTCCCTCACCGAGTCCTGGCTGCTGCAGGACACGACATGGCGGAGGCGGATCTCCGGCATGTCAACTTCGTGGGCTTCACTTGGCCAGAGGGATGAGGTACGGTCTGGGGTCGGAGGGGCAAGGAAGGTGGGAGGCGGTGGGGTGCACCCTGCGCAGGCTGAACTGCGCAAGCGCACGAGACTCGGGCCTTTCAAACCCCGGCGCGCCGGCGCTGGCGTCGACATTGCGCAAGCTCAGTCGCGCCTCTCTGGAGCGGGAAGTGCACTGCGTTCCTTAGCAACGAGCGTTTCCTGCAGCCCCGTCTCCCTCTGCCACACACCCCCGCCCGAGCCCCGCCTCCCGATGACGTCCACACCCTACTTTCTGGGCGCCTAGCAACAAAAGCCGCCTCTGGGATTGGTGTCTAGAAGAAATTCGCGATTCTCATTGGACGATGCAGTCACCGCCCATACTGGAGCCTAGACAGCAAATCTTTTTGCTGTATTATTATTATTTATTTTTTAAAATTTTTTGTTGAGACAGGGTCTTGATCTCTCACCCAGGATGAAGTGCAGTGGCAAGATCTCGGGTCCCTGCAACCTCTATCTCCTGGGCTCAAGAAATCCTCCCACTTCAGCCTCCTAAACTGGGATTACAGGCACACCACATTCGGCTAATTTTTGTATTTTTTGTGGAGACGGGGGAGAGGTGAGGGGGGTGGCGGGTCTTGCCCTGATGTTCGGACTGGTCTCCAACTCCTGAGCTCAAGCGATCCGCCTGCCTTGGCCTCCCCAAGTGCTGGAACTACAGGCGTGAGCCACCGCGCTGGGCTAGGACAGCAAATCTGAGTGAATTTTCATAGTTTCGTAGGGAACCTGGATCCTGCACAACAGGATCTTCTCCAACAGCTCAGACGGCTGCACTCTTCCCTCTGTCCCCCTGCCACACACACACACACACACACACACGAAAAAATTCTCAGATCTCTCTCAGCCTTATGCCTGAGGCCAAAAGAGACGGATTCAGAGTCCTAAATATAACAAAAAACATATGCCCAAACCACATACACACACGCGCAAGCGCGCACCCCTACTCTAGAATGCTTCCACAAAAGCCTCAGTTTCCCAATATGTGGCCTGTGAACATTTGTCTTTTACTACGCCCGCCTATGGCTGCTGACAGGCATCCTTCTGTTCGTTCGGTCCCTTGGACACCCAAGGGTACAGCCTTGGGTGAGGTCGCAGCCAGAGACAGCCCAAACATACAGAGAGTGTGAGCCAAGCACATGAAGAGAAGGGAAGGGAGACAAAGCACCTGGCACCCGAAGGACCAGCCTGGACATGCTGCATGCCCCAAGGTAGGGCCCCACCCACACTGGGTGCTTCCTTGGGAGGAGAGGGGAAGAGAGAGGAGAGGGAATCCCAGTCCTTGCAGCTGCTGGGAATCAAGTGGCCCAACTCCATCTTGGTCTTCAAGCAAACAAGCAAACAAAAATGGGTAGTGGGAAGGTGGAAAACAGGGAAGTGACATTCTGGGTTCTAATGGAAGAGGGGGCTGGAAGCCCAGACTCGTGGGGTCTCCATGGAGGTGGGGGCTGGGCACAAGATGCCCAGGTCACTTTTGGATTCTGGTTCCGCCTTCCCAATCCAGAGGCCACAGAGGACTGCCCCAGGGTTCTGATCTCAACTATTTCTCCCTGCAGGGTGAATGTGGGTCTGGTCCCGCCCCTCCTCAGCTTCCTATAAAAGCTGGGGACTGAGTACTGCTGGTACACACATGATGAGGCCCTCCAGGAGACCGGGAACCTTTCTGCTGGCCTTCATGCTGCTCTGCACCCTCCTGGGTCTTGGTAAGTGATAAGGGACCTAGATTCTTTCTGGGACCTCAGGAAAGAGAAGACTACGAGAGAGCCTTCAGCAAGTCCTCTAGGTGAACGGGAAGGAATTCTGGAAATTCAGATTCATGGAAGAGGCCAAGGGTAAAGGAAGAGGAAGCCTGGGGGTGCCAGAGAAGAAAGGCTCCTGTGATTGGATCCCTGACAGAGGGGCTTGGTGGGCTCTGAATTCTCCACCCTCCAGGAAGGGTCCCAGATAAGACCTCTCAATTCTAGGAAATCAGATGAGAGCATGCTGGAAAGGGAAATCATTAAAATATAATTTTTTAAAAAGAGGGAGAAGGTCAGGTGTGGTGATTCATGCCTGTAACCCCAGCACTTTAAGAGGCCGAGGTGGGCAGATCACTTGAGGTCAGGAGTTTGAGAGCAGCATGGCCAACATGATGAAACCCCGTCTTTACTAAAAATACAAAAAAAGTTAGCTGAGGGTGGTGGTGGGTGCCTGTAATCCTAGCTACTTGGGAGGCTGAGGTGGGAGGATTGCTTGAACCTGGGAGGCGAAGGTTGCAGTTAGCTGAGATCACACCACTGCACATTCCAGCCTGGGCGACAGAGCAAAACACCATCTCAAAAAATAAATAAATAAATAAATAAATCAGTGAATAGGATAGGATAGAATAGAATGGAATAGAATTTCTTTTCTTTTTTCTTTTTCTTTTTTTGGGGGGGCACTAGACTGGATCAGAAAGAATAGAATTTTTTAAACAGAAGGAGAGAGATTTTCTTTCTCCTTAGACTGAGGAGTTCAGGCCCCAGCCCTCTCCTCCCCTCTACACGGGAGTCCAGATAAGCCTCACTTTCCCCAAGACCCAGGTATCTGCGCCCCTAGTTGTCTCCTCTCTCAGGACCAAGGAGTTCATGTCCTCTGTCCTCCTGGTTCTCACTCTCCCTCCTTGACCTAGGATGCAGACCCCCGCCTCAGGGCCCCCTGCCTGAGGTCCCACTGTCTACAAGACCTACGTGGTACCTTCAAGGAGGAGAATCCCACATTCAAGAATCAGCTGGACCTGAAGTTTCACAAAAGTCCATGGAGGCCGGGCGCGGTGGCTCAAGCCTGTAATCCCAGCACTTTGGGAGGCCGAGGCGGGTGGATCACGAGGTCAAGAGATCGAGACCATCCTGGTCAACATGGTGAAACCCCGTCTCTA